AATGTTGGATTTTATACCTGGATTATTGAGCATGGACTTTGTTGTTTGCTACCATGGGTTATATGTTGGTGAAAGTTTTCAGTCATCCAGGACACAGTGATCCTTATTAGTTCATTCAAAAGCAATTTGACTTCTTTTTGGTTTTTATTAAGGCATTTTGCTCTTACTGTTTTTCAATCAGGAAGCAAAAGGTTTTTAGAAAATTTAAAAGGTCCAGTTGCCTCCAACTGAACTTACTCGGAGTTCAGTTGCATCAGCTTTAATGTCCATAGTGCTTCATGAAATGAAGACTTGGCTTTCACATCTGGCTTATAAATACAACACAGAACAAATTAAATGCAATAAATATAAACTTTACAAACCATGAAAACAATAAAAATACTCTAAAATGCATGCATTAAAACATTGCAACAAGGAATGGTTGTTTTGTCATGTGAGGTTATCCTGACAGAGGATCCTGTTGAGGACTGTCATGGCAGAGGGGAAAAATAAATTTTAGGCCCGAGCAGTGAAGCGCTGCAAAGGCCTATTGTAATCGCTCTGTTCAGGCCCAAGCTGCAATTTTTTCCGCCAAATGAATTGTCATTTTGAGGGCCTTAGCATATCCCAAAAGTCACCAAATTTGGCAGACTCATCAGGACTGGTGAAAAATTACGTATTTTAAGGGCGTGGTAAAAATTGCAACAGAAACAGATCAAGAGCGCCACCTAGAAATTTTCAAAATACCCTCCAACCTTAGTTTGTCATAGAAACATGAAATTTGGTACACTTGGCCATTTCCCCAAGATGCACAGAAAACCCTCTGGCACCAACGTTGTATGATAAACAGGAAGGCGGCCATTTTGGAATGCCGGCCCAATTTTCACACATTTTTGGCTGTTTACAGCCTCCGCATTTGAACAAACTCCTCCTAGGGATTTTGCTCAATCGGTTTCAAACTTGGCCATTTTGGTCAAAAGGCATGGGGGCCACAAAGTTATCTAAACGGTTCATTTTGGAGCATGCTGAAGGGGCAGGGCCAGACCTCAAAGTTTGACATCTCGCCATGAAAAACGAAACGCTAATAGCTCCTACATGAAAACTGTCTGAGTCATCAAACCTTTAGTGACTGATCCACATCCGGTCCCCTGCAAGACTGAATGGTCAAATTGTGACATCACTTAAGGCACGCCCCCTTACAACAGGAAGTATAAAGTTTTACGTTGAACGATACCTATCTGACCCGTCACCTGATCAGCATGATAGTGTGTCTAGTGACCGAAGACATGTTGGTGTAACTTGCTTTCCAACACTGATAGTTTTGGGTGGAGCATGTGGACGGCACGGAGTGGAGAAGTAAGACGTAACGCCCTCGCCATACTTTTGGCTCTAAATTCCACAGTTTTGAACCGAGGTGCACAAAAATCAGTGTGATCAATCATTATCCACCCCTTGAACAGGAGGCCACGATAACTGGCCAATAGCCTCCACAGCGCCCCTTAGAATAATTTAAAACCTCAGCCCCCAGGCATTTTTTGACCGATAATTCTGAAAATCGGTGAACATCTGTATCTTCTCAGGACCTATGAAAAAGTGTCTTGGAGCCCTGGTCCAACACCAACAGGAAGTCGGCCATTTTGGGTCAAAGGGCCATTTTTGGGCATTTTTAATTGTGAATTTTAACGAACTCCTCCTAGGAATTTTGAAAGATTGCCTTCAGACCGCTACAAGAGATCCTTCCTGCCCACAGCCATCAGCATCTATAACAACTCTTTAATGAAACCAGAATGATGAGTTACAACAACATTTAATTTCCCTCTAGGATTAATAAAGTATTTTTGAATTTGAATTTGAATTTGAATTCAAATTTGGTTGATATGCCTTTAAGACATTGGAGAGCAAAAGTTATCTAAAGCTTGCATTTTCGTATATGTTAAAGGGGCGTGGCCAGGCCTCAAAGTTTCGCTTCACGCAATAAATTTCCAAACACTATAACTTTCACATTGTAAGACCGAAATGCACGAAACTTGGCATGACTCATCCCTGATGGATGCCCGACGATCCACTGAGGACATATTTTGATGTCATCAAAGCCCCGCCCCCTCAGAACAGGTAGTCTCTTTTTTTAACTTGGAAGGTTCCCTCTTTGACACCATTGACCTAATCAGGATGATCCTGTGTTAGAAGACATATAACAAGTTGGTCTGACTTGATTTAAATTACAAACACTTTTAGCTGGAGGATGGGGTGTGGCGGTGTAACGAATTAAGAAGTGACGCCGTTGCAATACATTTGGCTCTAAATTGCACAGATTTGAGCCGAGGTGCACCAAAATCACTATGATCGATCATTATCCACCATTTGAACAGGAATCCATGATAAGTTGCCAATAGCCTCTATAGTGCCCCCTACATTATTCCTAAAGTTATATCTCAGTGATACATCATCCAACCTGCACCAAATTTTTGGCGTGTCATCTGTGAGCAGTTCTAATCTAGACACATCGATATTGTTGTTAAACATTTGATTCAAGTGCGCCCCCTAGATTATTCAAACTGTTATATCTCAGTGATACATCATGCGATCTGAACCAGATTTTTTGGGGCGTCATCAATGAGCACTTGTATACTCATTGGTAATGTTCTTTAACATTTGAATCCAG